AAATTATCTCATCCTAACATTTGTATCCTCAAATACTTACATTGAGTCACCACCAAGAGAAACCTTATCAAACTCATAATTTGTCTCATTCATACCCATATCATGACATGAGAATCATACAACGATTCAACAGGGGGAAAAAATCCGAGAATTTTGCAAGTGGACGAAGTGAGATTGTAGAGTCAACTTCAAACCAATCATTGAAAGATAGGCGATAGTTCATTTGAAATTTATCCTCGTCTCTTACTTGTTCTCCCTCCCACTTCACCTGACCCATTTTCCCTCCCTAATCCCCCCCAAGCCAGCAACGATTAAACGATCGTATGTGATACCAATTTTTTTTCTTGGATGTGATATATTGTATTTTTTCTTTAACTTTCTCCCATCTAGCTAACATATCGATTTGAATTTGTTGTTTAATAGTTTCCATGAACTCAGACCCATCCAATTGTACCCTTTTCATTTCTTACGTACATCTTCTCATCCATATTGCCCACAATATAACCCTTTTACCAATAGTTAATAAATTTCATGTGAAATCATCTATCTGTTATGGGTTCCATGACTCAAGGAGCAACGCTTTCCACTTCCATGCCTAGGTATGAGAAGTACCCAATTGTTGTTAGATTTTATCCCACCAACGCCATAACCATATTGCTCCTGGACATTAGAGGAAGATATGTTCAATGGTTTATGTAATGAGCATCTTTGGAAAGACCGACTTGTATAACTTACACCAAGGAAGAGCAATTTTTTTTTGTTATAGAGAGGTTCTGTCAATAATTCAATTGTTGGTTGGGAGGCATTTGTGAACAATCTTCCATTGTAAGAAAGTCACTTTTGCAGGTTTCAAATTACTATTATTAAACGATGTGATGATTGATCTTAACTCATCTCTATTTACATTTAAATGTTTCATTCACCTATCTTCAATCTTTCTCTTAGTATTGATTTTTTGTCTCAGCATCCTATAAGTTGATTTGACTTTTAATGTGTGCAGCTCTATGGAGTAGGATTTACCTTTCCCCATTTAGCTAGTCCATCTCCAAATGGCTGGGTCTGTAGGTGAGGAAGATATAGGGATATCTGGTTTGAAAGTTAGTCATTTCTCCTTTACATCTAAGACCCGGGTTCTGAATACTTGGGTCTCTTGCATCCATCTTGTGCTTTTCTTTTGAGAAACTATCACAAAACCATATATTCCTATCTCATAAATTTCCAACAGAATTAACTCAGCATCAAAATATTCAATAACATTCCCCACCACACTGGTCTGACCCTTCATAGCTACCCAATCTGAAGCACATAACTTAAGTCCCTTCCTAAGAATACGAACCCAATCTAGAGGAATTATATCAATTATTTGTTTTAGAGCCCAGTCCAAATGATGACAATAACAAAAATGAATATGTAAGTTTGAAAGAGAGATCCACTCCCTTTCTTCTTTATCCCAAATATCTTTAATCCTTATTACTTCATTCTAAACTCACCCTTTCCAGTGGGAATCCGTAGAATGTAAGATATATACTTGAGGATCCCTTAAAAAAACATTATTAAATAGGGGTTGTTGACACACTTCCTCCCATCTTTGAGAAGGTATTCTGTCAGAAGGTGATAATTTTCTCCATATTTTAATTATATCAATCCATAATGAGTCATTTCTTAGATCTCTTCTGGCTACTTGTCTGTCCGATTCTTCAGGTTACAGTGCTTCTTTTGACTATATTCGCTGTTCTAGTAGTCTTCCTTCAACCTTGAAGCAACCACCATCTGCTCCACGTCCTTGGACAAATTCGTCAATGTTGTTCAGTCTACCTTAAAGACCGACGACTTCGTGACACATCGCTCAGTGCTACATGCACCGAGGTATGGCGCTCAACTCCGCGCTCCTGGAAAAAAGTGTAACCGCTAATGCACACGCGTCACGAGACTTGAGCTCTACGACGCCACCTCTCGCTTGGTCCTCTCCATTAGGAAGGTTTCTATCAGTATAATCTCATTTACATTTATAGTTGCACAATTTTATTCTGATTTCTTTTTAGGATTCTTGCTTCTGGTTGTGGTACTTTAGTGGTTAGAGCTCTGGCGTTGCAACAAAGAGGTTGTGTGTTCGCTTTTGTCGGCCAAAACCTCCCCCCGTGCGCTCAGTTGATGCTAGGTTGTATCCCACGACTGTGTTCCCAAATGATGGTCCTGAGTTTTATGGTGCGTTCTATTCGAATACAACAGGTGCGCATACTATTCAAATAACCTCGATTTTCAAATATAACGCATGTGCGTTCTATTCCATTTTTTTTCAAATTTGGAAACTCGAATACAACACATATGCGTTATATTTGGGGTAAGAAGGTGGTTAATATAGTAGCTTAGTAGGTTGGGCGGTGCGATCGTATGTTTGAGGTCATGGGTTCAATTCTTTCTACAGGGGAGGGGCTCTGCCTGATGAAGCGGGACTGGAGGCCTTGGGCCCCCTAAATCTGCAACGCTTTTTCACCACTGGGCCCTAATAAAAGGATAGCTTTTCTTTTCTCTTCTTTTTTTTTCTTTTTTTTTCTTTTTCTTTTTTTTAAAGCCCAGGGTGTTGTAGAGGCCAAGGACCAGACCCTCGGTGATTGGTGGTAGCGGCAGCCAATGGTTGTCCTTACAGGATAGGCCACCTACCCTACCCATCCCCACTTTAATACTCCCAGAGCACCCCCTGTCCCTACTATCCTACCTCAGTGTGACCAAAACTCAGGACCATCATTTGGACCAGACAGCAGTGACCAGCACCAAGGCTGGTCCAACCTCCCAGCCCTACCGTCTTCCCCCGAGCATAACGCACCCTAAAAATGAATGTATGCAAGGTATATTTCCGGCCAGATACAGCCAAAATGAGGGTGCGTTGTGTTCGGGGGAAGACTGTAGTGGAAGCCGAAGCGGAAGCGGACCAACCTTGTCGTAAAGGTAATGCAATCTTCTACAGGCCCAATTCAGAGAGTCTACCCAGCAGGATTACCTAAGCAAGGTAGGCCAGCGCCCGGGGACACATCCTACCGTCCTTCCCCTAGCTTACCCAAGGCTAGGCGGAACTCAGGATAGCTTTTTCTTGGCAGGTAAAAAAAAAGGTAATGCCGGCCCCACGTTCACGGCCGAGTGGAGCGAGCTCCACAGTGGGCCTCGCTGCCCTCCTCACAAAATGAGCAGAATGGGAATGAATCCTTGCCTTAGAACATGATCCGGTACACCGCCATATTTTTTCTTTGTGTCTTGGTGCATGTGGTGAGTAATGGCCCGTGCTCCACCGTATGTGGGGCCTCGTCACACCAATTCAACACGAGAAGCCCTTATGCGCCCAACCCATGTGGCTGAATGGCACACACATACACTTTTTTTGTTTTTTTTACATTTATTTATTTATTTATTATTTATATTATAGTATATAGATAATAGTGACAGACATGAGGAGACGACTCGTGGGGCCATTCATCTCCAGGCAGTCGTACACAGCCCATGTGGGTGAACCTTAGACGTCCATATGTGACTGTGATCATGCGTTCCACCCCCTCCCCCTCCCCCCCGGCTCTCTACCCCTAACGCTGTAAACGCAATAAGGTTTTAAAGGTGTCCAGGCATCCTTTCTTTGGCTTTCAGATCGAATCGATTCGATTATGTGTGTGTTACGGACTACGCATTGTGTCCATAAGTCTGTAGGTGTCGTACCCAGCCCATGTGGCTGAACCTTAGACGCCCATAAGAACTGTGAAAGTAATGAACACAGTAACGTTAGAGGTGTCTACAGTAGGCATCCCTTACATGTTGCCCCTTAGCTGCAGTGTTTTTTTTTTTTTTTTTTTTTTTTAAGCTCTAGTGGTTTAGGGTACAGGGTTGGGACAAAAACCCAAGGACCGAGGATTTGCCAGTAGCTGCGCCTCCCTTGGGCGTGGTCCCACTAGCAAAGAGGATGGGATCGAATGCCTGAATCTGGATGTGTTTTAGGCAGAGATGCAGAAAAGCAGTTCAATCTCGATTTCCTGCACATCTCCATAACCTCGTCCAGATTCGGGCATTCGATCCGATCCTCTTTGATAGTGGGACCACGCCGCTTGTCATCTTCCCTCAACCCGATCAAGTAACAGCAGTCTCTACTAAAAAAAAAAGAAAAAAGAAAAAAAAAAGAAAAAAGAAAAAAAAAAAAAAAAAGGAAAAAAAAGAAAAGAAAGAAACCCAGCAGTCTCTAGCTGGTGCCAAGTCCCACTAGCAACGTTAAGTTTCCTCAATCTGGACGCGTTTGTGGAGATATGCGCAAAATTGCGTTGAGTTTCCTCAACCGCACATAGCTGCAAACGCGTCCAGATTCAGGCGTTGAGGAAACTTAACGTTGCTTGTGGGAATTGAACCCGGACGCAAACATTTCATTCATTTTTTCTTGAACATTTTATTTATTTATTTATTATTATTATTATTTTTTATTTTTTTTATTTATTTATTTAGAAAAGTTATTATTATGATTTGTTAAAAAGTGTATGTTAGGCGCCAAGTCGACCCATTGGCAGGATATGTCCACTTCCTCCGATCAACCGAAGATTGCTGGCATCCCGGAAAAAGAAAAAGAAGAAGAAGAAAAAAAGAGATTGCTGGCATGGGTGTGTATCTTTCCTTGTTCTAGAGTGAGATTCATTCTCATTTCGATTGCTGGCATGGGCGTGTATCTTTCCTTGTTCTAGAGTGAGATTCATTCTCATTTCGCAGCACAATTGATGAGTAGTGGAGCGAGGCCCATGGTCTCTTCGGTAATAACTGTTGACGGACCAGTCGGCAAGGAGAAGGGGAGGTGTGCCTTCTACTCTCTGCTCTCTCCTGCTCTCTCCTGCTCTCTCTCTCCTTCTCTCTCTCCTCCTCTCTCTCCTTTTCTCTCTCTCTCCTCTCTCTCCTTTTCTCTCTCTCTCCTCCTTTTTTTGCCTCGCTTTCTTCTGCGGGACTTACTAGTAAGATCGGTCTTCTCTGTTCTGAAGTTGACCGCTCTGATCGAATCCCATCATCTAATTAACGTTTGGAGTCTCTGGCGGGAAAGAGAGAGATGGGTGACCCACGTGGGCAAGGGACAGCGATGGTGGGAGATGAGGAGCTCAGGACGAAGACGATGACTCGATCTTCGCCGACTGCAGTGCGAGAACCGACAGTCGCCGTGAATAATCTCAGCTTTACGTATCCAGGACTTGATGGGCAACCCCCTCCTGGAGCTCGCCCAATGATTGAAGGCTTCAATCTGACACTTCATGCAGGAGATAGATGTCTTCTGGCGGGCGCCAATGGGGCGGGTAGGTAGGGACATTCTCTCCTCCCGGGTCTCGACTGTAATTGCCACCTAGCTACCTGTCGCTCTTCTCCTCCACTCCCTCCCTCTCTTTCTCTCATCTCCTTCCCGTCCTACTCATCCTATCGATAGGCCCTTGGTCCAGTCCTCTTCTTCTCTCTCTCTCTCTCTCTCTCTCTCTCTCTCTCTCTCTCTCTCTCTC